CAAAGAAGGGCAAGTGAAGGTGTATCTGGTGGAAAGGTCAGCTGGAGTCACGAAGAGAACCAACTAGGTAATGGCTCTCCTCTCCCCGCTAGCCAAGATGCTTCCAGGTTGACAGTGGGGCTTGGCCTCACTCACTCATTCAGGGGCTCAGACTTCCCGCCTCTGCCTTCTCTTGCATGGGCCTTCCAGATGGCCCCAGGAAAGGGAGACCAGCATGGAGGAGTGTTGAAGGGAGGGCTCCTGTGGGCCAGGCCTAGAGGGCGCCACATCACATCTGCTCATAAGCAATGGCCAGGACACCATCACAGGGAACTACAGAGAGGCTGGGAGATGTAGGGCAGGTGGGCATGCCGAGGAGCAGGGGAGAACAGATCTGGTGGAGAGCTAGCAGCCTCTGCCCACAGCAAAGAGTCAACAGTGGTGAGGCGCACCAGATTCGAAGGCGTAGGGAATGCCCAGGCGCATGCTGGCAAACACCTAACAGCTGGCTTTCTGGAAGGAAAAACATTTTAAGTCTGGATTGATAGCATTTGCTAATTTTCTTGATGTAAGTACTCCCACCACCATCAGTTTCAAACTACCAGCATGATCACCAAACAAGGAGCTGCCAAGAGGTGCTATAGCAGCCCAATACACAGACAAATTAGGGTTCTCCAGAGAACAGAACCAACAGGAGAGACCCAGGTATCTCTCAAGAGTATAATAAGAATATCTACATATTTATGCATACTTAGGTACTGTATATCCTTGAGGCTGGAAAGTCCCAAGATCAACAGTTGGCATCTGGGCACTACAGAGGGTCAGTGTAAGTTCTAGTTTGAAGACCAGCAGTCTCAAGACCCAGGAAGAACTTATTTTCAGCTTTAGACCAAAGACAGGGAAAAAAACCCCTATGTCTCAGCTCAAGGCAGTCAGGCAGGAGGAATTCCCTTCCATGAGCATGAAAGTCAGCCTTTTTGTTCTATTCAGGCCCTCAACTGATTGGACGAGGCCCACTTGCACCAGGAAGGGCAACATGCTTTATTCAGTCTACTGACTCAAATGCCAACTTCATCCAGAAACACGTTCACACACACCCCGAGAATCATGCTTGACCAAATGGCCATCTGGGCACCTCATGGCCCAGTCTGGATAACATACAAAATCAACCCTCTCAATAGTATTTTCACCAGGCAGATAACAGGTACAAATAACCTTAAGAATGTAGATGATAGCAAAAATGTAGAGGGGGGGAGGGCAGAGACACAGGCAAAGGGAGAAGCAGGCTCCATGCAGGGAGCCCGATGTGGGACTCGATCCCTGGACTCCAGGATTATGCCCTCGGCCAAAGGCAGGCGCTAAACCGCTGAGCCACCCAGGGATCCCTATTTCCTCTGTTTTTAATCTGATTTATTTCACCATAAGTTTATAAAATCTCATCTCCAATGATGCCTGCATTAAAATTGTAAAATTCCTGAAAACTTAGCAATCAGCTCTCATTGGCTTTTGTTCTGGCCAGCCGTTTCAGCACACCACTGGGATGGACAAAAGTGACCCGCTAGAGAGCAGGAGCCTCAGCCTCCTGGCAGCAGGGACAGACAGAGAGCGACTCGAAGCAGGAAGTCGGGTGACCACTGCGCAGGCATGTCAGATGCAGGGTAGCAGTGTTCTCTCCCCTCTGCCTCTGGAGCAGCACACTCTGTCCTCCCTGCAGCTTCTAGAACAGGAAAACGGGGTTCTGCTATCTAGATGACATCTTCGAAAAAAACAGAAAGGCTTGCCTTCCTGGCAGCAGATCCCTCTAGCAGTGCTGGAACACACAGCTTTGCCAGCAGCACCCAAACCCAGCCCCACTCCCCCTCTACTGGACACCTTTGTACAGTGAACGGGCTATACACCAGTACCTGTGGCTCTGTGTGGAACGGAGCAGTCTCCCATTGAGACTTGGGAGAGAGGCCCTTTCCTGCTTTCTGATTAGGAGATTGATTGGCAAAACGTGTCCCTCTCAGAGAAAAAGACTCCTTTGGGATGACAGCAGGCAGAGATGCCTCTGGTGTCCCCAGGCTCTAGGATATGTGATTATCTTCCAAAGTAGTGGTTCTCAACTCTGGCCACATGCTGGACTGCTGGAGGAGTTTTTATAACTCCCGATGACCACTGCACAGTACCAGACTAAACAGGACCCAGTGGTGGAGGGGACACAAGAAATTAGTTTTCAAAGCTCCCCAACATGCAGCCAAAGTTGAGAACCACTGACCTGAAGCCATCCTGGCGCTGGCCAGTGATGTGACCACCTGACCGAGAGAGGTGCTCATTCCAGTGGCCGCCTTTGGAGAGTTCTGCACCCCCAACCCTCTCTACTCACCCTTCAGTGCCTAGCCAAATCTGGCCCACAGCAGACTTGGAAAATGCTGAAAGGATGCCAGGCAGGGAACCAGGGGAGACCCAGGATCGCTGCTAGGAGGGGCAGTGCCATGAGGGCAAGTGCAGGGCTGTGAAGAGAGGGCTGCTTCTCTGTCTCGACTTCTACTCAAAGCCTGTATCTTCTCTTTGTAAACTTCAGGAAGGCAGGGGCACTAATGTCCCTTCCAGCTGGACCCTATGGATCCCCTCATCCAGAAATGTCCTGGGAACACAGTCTGAGCGCAGGGGAAGGGAAGGGCTATGTTGTCCCCCTACTCATCTTCATCCTCCATCATTCTCAGATGCAGAATCTAGACTAGCTCTTACCCTGTTCCCCAGCTTTACTTCTGGGTTTGAGGCAAGAGCCTCTGTGGTTTTGTTCAATTCTAACACTGATCCCAAGAAAAGCAAGAAGGTGAGCACAGCGACTTCATGTCATGGGAGGAAACAGCTGCACAGGAAGAGCACCCGGGGATGGTTTCTTAACCAAAACAAGTGTGAGTGGACCCAAACTAAGTCTTTAGGGCATTTCCCTGCCTCAGGCTTGGAGCACGCAGTCCAGGCTGCATTACTCACAGGGCTTCAGGATTGCTCAAGACATCATCAGTGGCCACGAGACCTCACCCTATGACCCTAATGTCAACATGAGATTTTCCAGATCTGTATCCTCCCCACTCCTCCTGAGTAGCCTCCATCCAAGCCTGACCCGGCCTCTACCTGGCCTGAAAGGAAAAGGAGGGCAATTGGATCATTCAGGGGTGTTTTTGCATCTGTCCCTCAAGCCAATAGTCCTCACATGGCTGGTGGTCTGAGTCCAGCCTGAGGCTCAGGACTGGGAGTGAAGAGGGGTGCTGGGCCACCTATAAGACACAGCCAAGAGCCCTGGGGAAGTGCTTGATGGCTCCTTTGGTGGTAGAATCAGGAGAGTTTCACAGGAACTTGCTCAGAATGATCAGACTTGTGTAACTGAAACTGTGGGAAAGGATACCTCCAGAGAGGGAACCACTGGTGCAAAGGCACAGGGGCACACGGGGCCGCACGTGCACGTGGCTGTGTGCAGCATTAGCAGCAATAGGTCACCAATGAAGGCATGGATGGCACCATGAAACGCCTTAAATATTATATCAAAATACTTATTCATTTCTTCTGAGGGGTGGCTGAGGGCCAGAGCAAATGACTTGATGCTGAGTAAGACAGCTTTGTCTGCATGCACTCTGCTTTCTCCCTGCAACCAGGCCATTGGACTCCCACATCCTGGTGAGTCCTTGACCTCTCCAGTTCTCCTGTCCCCTCTGTAGGCCACACCCTGTCCTCTCTAGCATGGATTGCTGCAGGGGCTCCCAGTAGACCCTTTGCCTCCAGAACTTCTGGAGGATTCCACATTAACACTTCATTTGGGGCAATCAGTGGACATGGGGGCACTCTGAGGATCAGGGAGGGAGCATGGCCATTCAGAGAGGTCATCTTTCAAATCCCTCATCTTCAACTGCTAAGAGGACCACACAGCACTTAGACTAAAAAACACCCAGTCCCAGGCACAAATGTCTAACAGCCCCTGGGGTCATTTCAGGGGCACAAAGGCTGGTCCTCACCATCTAACAAGTCACTGAGGACACTCGGGCAAAAAACTGCTCACATGAAGTGGTTGGAATTTGGAAGTTTAGAGAGACTGGCATCGTGGAAAATCATCAGCTGTAGACATGCCACCTGGGGTTCAGAGTCCCCTCCTGACAGTATTATGTGATTTGGGGCAGGTTGTTTAGCATTTCTGTGCCTTGTCTTCTTTATCTGAAAAGAATAGCACCTGCCTCAGAGAATTAGAGAATTAAATGAGATACGGAATATAGAGCGCCAGCCTCAATGCCAGACACACAAGTAGGCACCTAAATGATAGCTAAGTACTGTGGTTGCATCTCTTGGGCAATTTTTTTGGCTCTTGAGACTGAACTCCCCAAAAGCCCCACTACGCATTCTTTAGAGTCATGTTGAGTATTGAACGGAAACATGACAATTAGCAGATTCACTACTCAGTGAACCGTTTCTGAGACCCTACTACGTGCGGACCCTAAACGAAGTGCTTCACGTGCGTGGACTCCTGTCACCTTGTCGAAGCAGCGGAAACATCCCTATCAGGCATCCCTCGGCTTGCTGGGCCCATCCACGAGGCTCTCAACACCGCCGGCCGTGAGCGCTGGGGCCATCAGGCAGAGCGGGTCCCGCTGGACGGGTTGGAGGTCGCCTTGGCTGGGGCGGGTCTCCTTCGGTCCCCAGGGGAGCCCCCGGGCGGGGGCCGGGGCAGGCGGCGCGCGGGCGGCAGCGCCGCGGATTTCCTGCGGCTTCTCTGCGGGAGGCGCGCGGCCCCGGCCCTCCCCGCGCAGTGGGCGGGTCCGCCCGGCAGCCAGAGCGGAGCCGGAGCAGGAGCGGGAGCGGGAGCGGGAGCCCAGCTGGAGCCGGAGCCGGAGCCGGAGCCGGAGCCGGAGCCGGAGCCGGAGCCGGAGCGGAGCTGGGAGCCGCCTGCCGCGCCGCCCCGGCCGCACCGGCCCCTCCCCGCCCGCGCGCGCGCGCCCGCCCGCCGGAGGCTCCGGGATGGGTAGTGCCGCGGGCGCCCCGGGCGGAGGGACAGTCCGGCTGGCCCGCCCTGGCCCAGTGACTGACCAGCAGCCCTTCCCAAGGCTTTTAATGGTTCGCTTGGATGGGAATTAATTCTGGGATGGATCAATAATGCATTGAGGTTCGTGCAGTCCAAGGCAAGCCGTCAGTCGGAAGCAAGGAGACAGAGCAGAGGGAGCATCGCCGGTAAAGCCAGCAGCCATGGGGGCCCTAGCGGGGCCGGAGGGGCAGTCGGGCCAGAGGAAGAGAAAAGGAAAGTGGATGACAGCATGATCGGCACAAGGACTCAGGCCTGGCAGCTTCTGGAATATGCTGAGCCCAAAGATCAGGCAAGCCAGGAGGGGTAAGTCCAACTTCCTGGGGTGGATCTGGGCAGTGTGTGTCTCTTGGCCAACACGTGCAGACACTTAGCCGGCTGCCACACTGGGGGGTCAGATGAGGCAGGCATTCCAGAGGCATCCTGACGCACAGGCCTTCCTAGCGAGGCTCCTGGGGTCAGACCTGAGACACAAAGGGGCAATGGCCATTTTAGTCCTCCAGTGGGTGTGCAGCCCTCACCCCATATTCTATGTTTTGACGAGTTCCTGAGTTTCTCAAAATGAGCAGGTGACAACCTTGGGAAACCTTTGTTCCTTTACTAAAAAATACATGCTCAATGCTCAAGATTTGTCCAGCAGCCAAGACAAAAGTGGCCCTCACTAGGGAAGACCATGCCCTGGCTTCTGGAGCCCGCCAGGTCCAAGTGAGAGTCCTTGTTCTTGTGGCCTGAGAGGGTGCTGTGTGAAGCCTGCAGTAGCTGCTAGGGCTGGGCTGCAAGAAGCAGTTTCTCAGACAGGCCATAGGCAGGCAGGCACTCCCACAGGGAGAACTCCCAGGAAGCTGCATGGCCTGAGGTGAGGGTGCTGAGGGCTCAGATCTCGAGATAAGTAAGAGATGGGAGTCTGGAGAATCTTGCAGGGATGATCTTGAGGGATTGAGCTGGTGCCACAGCCAGCCTCTGTCCCCACTCAGTGGCCTGGAGACTCAGGACAAGTCCCTGGACTAGGGATAGTATCTCTCTATGGACAACAACTTCTTGACCAGTGTCCTTTTAGATAAGAACATCTGTCTTTTAAGAGAATAGGATGTGTCTTTATAAGTGGCCAGTGCTTACGGAGGGCTGTAAACTCCAAGCTTCCCTTTTGAGCCATGAGTACGAGGACAGGTGGTTTGGAGGTAGATAGAACAACTACCTGGGGAGCTTGGAAACAGTGTGTCTTGCCCAGTATGTGTGAAGCCTTCAGCCTCCTGTGAACTCACAGGCAACACACTCATCTCATTAGCTACTAAAGGATGATTGTGGGGTTGGCTCCAGGGCATAGTCACAACTATCAGGACCCCTCTGTGGGGTGCTCCAAATGGATGATAACTTGTGCACCCCAATGGGCAAATGAGGGCTGTGCATGGCTCTGCTGAGGGGCAGGAGTGTGATCTAGTGACCACCTGAAGGGCTGGGCCAGGCCATACATGCTATCTACCCTCCCAGCCCTGTCTAATGCACTAGCCACTGACCAGATGTGGCTATTGAGCCCTTGACATATGACTAGTGCAAATTGAGAAAAATATGCCCTAGATTTTGATGATTTGGCATAAAAAAGAATGTAAAATATCTTACTAATAATTATATTGAGTATAGGCTAAAGTGACAATATTTTGGATATATTGAGTTAAAATACATCATTAAATTTAATTTCACCTTTTTTTTTTTTTTACTTTCTTTGAAAGCAGCTACTAGAACATTTATAATTGCAGTTACATATGTGGCTTACATTATATGTTTATTGCATAGTGTTCATCTAGAAAGAGACCAGGGCTTCAGCAAAAGGGCTCTCAGGAAACCAGCCTCTGAAATCCCAAACTTCCTACAAGCAGTTGTCCTAGGTTAGTGGTTCTTGGCCAGGAGTGATTTTGTGCCACCCCCACCCTCCACTACTCCCCACCCCCAGGACCTTCGGCATTGTCTGGAGACATTTTTGGTTGCTCCAACTGAAGGGTGCTACTGGTGTCTTGTGGGTAGAGAACAGGGACACTGCTAAACATCCTAAAAAGCAGGGGACAGGCCTTGCAACAAAGAATTATCTGGCCCCAAAGGTCTATAGTGCTAAGACTGAGGAACACTCCACTTGATGATAGTATCTGATATATTAAAAGATGATGCTTGTGTGCCATGCATCAACTGACCACTTAGCCACAAAAATGTATGATCATAAACTATGATAAGAAGCATTCTAGGAGCATATACTACAAATGTAGCATCAGAGGAAGCAAGAGGTATGTTAGCAAGGGCTAGGAAATGACAGGGAGCCAACTAGGCAAAGAACGGTGGAATGAAGAGGCCACATTCCTGGTGGGGAATAGCATGTGCAGGTGTTGTGGAAGGGGAGGGGCACACAGGAGCTAGGGGCAGGAAGGGGCAGCAGGCACAGCACAAGGCAGGAGACCAGGTCCGGAACTAGATCATGCAGGGTCAGGCTTGCAGCTTGTTAAGGAATAACTCTTCCTAGGGATATTTCTGGGGAAATACAAACCAAAATTCTGTGTGTGTGTGTGTGTGTGTGTGTGTGCGCGCGCGCGCATGTGTTTACCTTGAAGTAATTAGGCTGTGGTGGAAAGAAGAGCTCCCATCAAAATTTATCTTTGAACCATTGAACCTTTTAGGAGCTGGGCAGGATACATGTTATAAACACAGTAAGTCATAAAATGCAAATCACAGCCATTGGTATCCAGACACTGCCTTGTCCAGACTGCTCCACGCTATCCATGTTCTAGATACACTATGTGAATGCACTGGGATGCATGAACAAGACTGAGGTTGCTTTCTGGATTGGTAATAAAATCAGCCTCCACCAGCTCAGAAGCCTCTGGGCTGCTCTGCAGATAGGGGCTTCCCAGGGATCCTTCCACAGAGTCATGTTGGATGTTAACTTCCTGTGAGGCCCCATCCAGGCCAGCCCCGGGTGAGCATGCAAAGGCTGCCAACACACTGAAAGCAGTCCTGAGGTCTCCTTCCTAAGAAGGGAGAGATGCCAAGATTAAGATTTTCCTTCCTCCCAAGGAAAACCCTATTGTCACTTACCTGCATATAGAGCTAAGTTTGGTGAACTCAGACCCTGACTGAGCTCAATTTCCAAGAAGTTAGAGGCAAAAGAGTTAGGTGTCTACCTATGGACACACACGCACACACACACACACACACACACACACACACACACAAGAAGACAATAATTTAAAAAAATAGTCACCCAAACTAGCTGGAAGTGGCACAAAATAGGCCAGTCAATTCAAATTGCTTGCTTGGTTTTAAGTACATCACACAATTCGAATTGATTTCAGGAAAGTGGTGCAGATTGGCTCAAATCAGCACAAACTGGCCATTATTACAATAAGTGATTTTAGCTCACCATTGCTTGCTTAGGACAGGTTCAGACTCATCGTTATTAGTCATAACCTGTTGAAGCTAGTCCAGGCTATCTGGAACCAGGTGTGGTTCCCTGTTCCCACCTGGCTTCAGAGGTCCCTTCCAGAGAACCTTTCCTATCATTTTGCCCCAGCAAGCTTTTTCTACACCAATTCCCCTTTCCATATTCCCAGAGTGTGGGAAGAAGGAACAGCCTTACCCTTACCCTTGCCAATTTTCTCAGAGAAAAGTAAGATAAATTCACTAGAACTCCATGAATGTATCACATATACAGTGGAGCAAGTCACAAGTCTGTGCTCTGTAACACAGTGAAAGTTGCAATCTCTTTTTCAAGATAGAAAATGAAAACGTAAGGCAGGTGCCGCCTCTCCTGGGAATAGGAAAGGAGGAGCAGTGGAGCCTCATGCCATACCCTCAGGCCCACTACCGCATTCACCCTTTGTCCTCCACAGTCCCTCCTCTGCTCACACAGCCCCTGGAGCACCTGGTTGGAACCAGACCTGGTTCCCCATATCTCCAGCTATAGTCAGAATGGAACCCCAAAACACTTGACCTTGATGCAGCCCCAGCTGGCTGGAGTTGTTCCCCTTCTGAAATCCCACTGTAAGAGGACTTACATCTTCACAGAGACTGGAACGTTCTGTCATTCTTGATTGAGGCTTATTGCTCTGGCCTTGCCCTAGTCCACAAGGATGAGGGATGGAGGACAGACCTATCGCTTTGTCTTCTGAGAGCTCCTGACTCTGCCTGTCTCACTTAAACTCCTGCCATCATCCACCTCCAGCCGTCATCAACTCTCACTTGACTTTGGCAATAAGACTGCCTCACTCCCACCCACCTTCACCCATTCTCCACTCCAAAGCCAGAGCTATCTATTCAAATGTAAACTCAGCCATACATTCACTCCAGCCTCTTCACCCAGCCCAACTTGGAATCCTTCAGTGGCTTTCCCATTAGTCTATGGGTTAAAATCCAAAGACTTACCATGGCCCACAAGACCCCTCAAACATGCAGTCTAGCTGGTGGCCACCCCTCCAGCCTCCTTTAACTCTCCAGGCTCCAGGCACACTGGCCTTCTTGTTCCTCAACTGTTCCATGGGCCTCCTACCACAGGACCTTAGCACACTTTTTTCCCTGCATAGAATGCCTCTCCCTTCTCTCATACACACGCTCTCACTCTCTTTCTGTTTCCCTCTCCTCCCTCCTCCTACACGCGTACATTCCTTGACTCTTACTCACCCTCCAGCTCTCCGTTCAAATGTCACCAGCCAGGGAAGTCCTCCCACACACCCCAATCTAAGCTGGGTCCTCTGCTGCATGCTCTCCTTTCTTTACAGCATTTACCTTGGATTGCAGTTGTACACTCAAATGGAATTATCTGATGGACATCTGTCATTCCACTGGACTGAGGTCCTTGAGGGCAGGAGCCGTTTCCAGTTTTAAGTATCATTATACCTCAATGCCACGCACCTCAAAGTTCCTCAATATATACATTTTGAATGAATGAATGAATGAATGAATGAATGAATGAATGAATTGTAGGGAAAGCATTAGCCTGGGAGGCTGACGCACTGTCTCTGCCCTAAATGATTCAGGTCCTTAGGAAAGTCAGCCTCTCCCTTGACTGACTTATATATTGCAAATATATTCCCAATTTGTTGCTTGCCTTTTATTTTTATATTAGGGTTTTTTTTCCTCCAGATGTACATAAGATTTTAATTTTCTCTGTTCTTTTTTTTTAAGATTTTATTTATTTATTTGACAGAGAGCACAAGGAATACACTCTTCAGAGTGTATTCCTACACTCTGAAGAGTTTTGATCAGGGGGAGTGGCAGGCAGAGGCATAGGAAGAGACAGAGAGAGAGGAAGAAGCAGGCTCTCCACT